GAGATAGCATGTCATGGACTATCCTGCCTGAGCCGGCCTCAACCCATAGTCCTCAGATCTCAGCCTTCTGGGATTATAGTCCAGGCTCTGCCCCAGGTTCTTCACACTCCAGCTTCAGCCTGTGTAGGTCACTGGTGCAATAAACAATAAATCCTTGCATGGAACAACCTCTTGTTACTGAAAGTTAGCTTGCTTTAGGGTAAATGGAAAGCCCAGTCTAACCAATTTCCAAAATCATGGGTGTACTTTATCATGGCACATTTCATGCTCTAGAAACTGCATAGAATTGCCCCTTTGTGTATTTAGTCTTTGAGATAAATTAGTGCCACTGAGTTTGGCTTTCTATGACTATACTGTCTCTGCAGAGAGTGGAGAAGAGGGGGTTTGTGCACATGGCTATGTGTGGTGGGTAAGGGGGTCACAGAAATCAGTGTTTAGCCGTGTCTGAAAGAATAACTGTGATCCTTAAACACTGACTGGCTTGAATTTCACTTGAAGAGACTGTCTACCGTGATGAGCTTTCAAAGCAAACACTGGCTTTTCTGAGGGATTCACTGAGAAGGAAGAGACGGAATTCAAATGGCCGTGGGTAGGACATTTGGGTGGTAAACTTATGGATGTTTCTAACGAAGAACAGACTAAACAAAAGTGGAAAGTCACCATGACAACTGGAGAGAGAAGCAACTGGATGCCAGATTTACCGCAGCTCCCTCCAGAACTCAGTGAGACCAGGAGAATGCGTTTAAATGGAAAACAAGTCATGTGAATTCAGGCGAATGAGTTTTTGAAAGACAGGAAATGATCCAGGTGATTGGAGGGTGTATCGGCTCTTAGCTAGTGGGGAAAGCCGGGGTAGTATTAGACTCCCAGGGACATACCTATTTCCTCAACACTTAACTCCATACTCTAATACTTATTTCAGATTTTGTGTTCATGATCAATCTAATTTCTTTCCTTTCTGCCATATCAAATATATTTTTCCTATGTAATATAGTCATCTCCCAGAGGGGTGCGTAGGAGTACATTCTCTTTCAAGTCCAGTGAAATTGGTATTTGTTCTAAATATTCTGTCTCAACACAGGAAACCTTAACACTTATTCTTCTATCATCAGTCATTTCTGTATTGTGCACCAACCATATGCTTAAATGCTACAGACCTTCAGGGGAACTAAAGCCTACACTAAAGCAAATAACAGTGACATAAATCAAGGATTTAAGGTACATGAAGTACATGAGAAGAATTTCTTCATCCTTCAAAAGACAAATCAGTAAGAACTAAGGCCACCTTCATGGTGGAGAAAGATATAAAAGTGGGCCTTGATGATCCATCCAGTAGGCATAGACTCGTGGAGAAAGGAGGAGCTCCAGGCGGGGCCTGGCTGTTCTAGACTGCCAGGCCTGAGGCAGGGCAGCAGTGGACCCTTGCAGTTTGGCTGGTGTAAAAGCAGCTGTAGTAGGGTCCAGTGCTCAGCCACAACCCACCACACGTGAGTTACTCAGGTTCATCACCCACCCTACACTTCAGTCTCTGTCATCTCTAAACCACTTCCGAAGCTGTTGGTAAGGATTGGGATCGTGTCGACTAAGTGTGTAGTATGCGGTAGCACTTACACAATGGAATGGTGAGAGTTGTCTTTTTTTTTTTTTACCCAAAGTTTGAGTAGGTGGAGGATTTGATGAATGGTTCCTAGAAAGTCATTGCCGCTCTTGGGCAGGGCAGTGGCTTTAATTAATGTGGGGCTGGAGAAGATGAATCTGGCTGTGGTTTGTAGGATTGATGAGGGGAAGAGTCTGAAGACAGGGCGTTACCTCGGAGGCTGGACGCAGGATCTTGGCTTGGTTTTATGAGGAATCACATAAAGAAGATGACGGTGAAAACTGAGTATGAGAGAGAAAGGCAAAGAAAGGGAGACTAGATAGAGCATGGTGACTTCATCTAAGGGCACACACAGCAGGGTTTGTCCGAGATGTTCTCATACTTTGAGACTGGACAGGCCACGTGTGCAGCAGACGTTTCTGGTGTGCTCAGACAAGAGCTACCAGAACACAGCACCCCCGAGCCCGGGGGCCTGGACTGTTTTTCTCCTTATATCTCGAGCAGCTAGATCAACAACTGACAGATGGAAGAAGCTCAGTAAGCTTTATGACTAGCTGAATGAATGAGGGGCCGGAATGTGGCGCACCTGTAGGTACCTAAGAGAGCTCTGAGCAGTGATCTGAAGTGGATAGTTACTATATTGAGAACTAGCAGAGCAGCCGTCAGTGAAGGGTCAGCAAAAGCCCATATTTAATCTGGAGAGAAACAAAAATGTCTGTTTCTCAAAATAAACAACTGTGTCCATCCAACAGAAAGTAGCAATTCTTGAAACTTTTGAACACTGATACAAAGGGAATTCCGAGGACATAGAATAAACATATTTAAATGGAGGGGGTGCTGGGGGGGGGGGGGGTCGGCTGGCAGCTCTCGTCTTGGTCCGTATTGTTTTATCCCTCCCATCCTGGGCATAGGATAAAAGCAGAGCCCTGCCGGCTTGTTAGTAGAAGAAAGCCCTTACTTGAAGCTCCTACTTGGCAGATGTCAGTTGAAAGCTGTGCTTATGGAATATGCCGCGATGTCAAACTCTGTTGGGTAATTTTAGACGAATGTGTCATGTGTGACATGGAAATATGGCTTGCTGTACATTAGTGATTTCCCAAGTGTTCGGATGAGGTAGTGATGTGCGGAGAAAGTGCTCTTCATCTATCCACACAGTGTTCTTGTAGAGCAAGGGGGAATGCTTTTGGTGGAAATTACTTTAGTCAGAAAAAGAATCCATTTACAATCTGCGCCTTCTAACATCTCTCAGACAATGCATTGTATTAAAGAGGCATTTTTTGATTAATGTTTTATAAACATTTTTCAGCATGACAGCTTAAAGTCCCTGTAAAATTGTAAATGCGCGCATAGTGTTCACTTCCATAAAGTCAAATGCCATCTCATAAAGTCTCGTTGAATCCTGTCAAGCATGGTGACACACTCAGTACCTGGGAGCATTAAAATTAATTTGCTTCATTTATATTACTTCAGTGATGGCAAGATGAAAAGAATCCTACATTTCAATTTTACTTTATGAAGAAAACTCTAGGAAGTTTGTTGGGGTTTTTAAATTATTGCTATTACTTTTTCTTGAATTAACAAATGTTAAGTTTTTTTTTAAAAAATGGCACGATAGTCTCCATAGTAACTTCACGATGGAATCTGGGGGAAAAAATGTGACACAGATCCACTCATTCGCCCTGCCCCCTCCGAGCACCTGCTGTCTGCTGGAAGGTGAAGAAGGCTTCCAACCTTGGCAGTGCCACAAGGCTGGCGTGGGTCTGCATGGCATGGAAAGACCTTACAGGCAAGCCTCGAGACTTCAGTACTGCTTCCCAGGTGAAGCAGCCAGAAAGCAGAGGCCACAGGACACGGAGGAGGCCCAGTACAGTGCACACCCACCTTAATCCCAGCTGTCTGGAAGTCAGAGCTAGGAGAATCATTGTTTGATGTCAGCCTGGGCACAATAATTTCCTGTCTCAACAAACAAGCCAGGCACAGCGACACATACCTGCCATCCAGGCTACATAGGCTGCAGAGGTAGGAGGATCATGGTGAAGCCAGATTCAGGCAAAACCTCAAGAATATATAGAGATAGAGATGATATGGGAGACTGAAAAGCAAGTAGCCAGGAACTACATTTTACATAAAGGTTTGACATGTATTCAATGGTAACAGTAATTGAAAAGGCTGAGTCTTATTTGCTGTGTTATTTTTTAAAGTTATTTCTGCGCCATCATCAGGCATGCCTAGGAATTTGGGTCCTCCTCAGAGGCCAGAAGAAAGAAGAAAAAAAGGAGGAAAGAAGGCCAGGAGGGAGGGAGGGAAGAAAGGAAGGAGGAGGAGGAGGAGAGCTGAGCTCCTAAGGCTCTTAGTTGAAAAAGCTGACATATGTACACTGCAATTCTGAAGAGTGTAGCTATATTAAAACAATTGGTAATAACGGTTAAACGGCTGGTGTCTGAATTGTGTTAGCTGTAGAAGCTCAGAAGTCTGCTGCATTACAGCTGCTTAGCAAGTGTACCACCAAGCGAACTGCACACCTGCTCCATGCCGGTAGTGGTGGAAGTGTGTGGGTTTCCCCACGTGTTCCTCCTTAAGACTCACGCTGTGCGGTGGAAGTGTCCGGCACTAACTTGACATTCAGTTACTAGAGTTGCGTGAGTTTTGCTTGGTACTGATAAAGCACTTCGGGATCCTTGGCTACAAAAAGGAACATGCAGAGTGTGGCTTGGTGGTAGAGAGTGTGCTTGTTAGCACGGGTGAGGTGGTGGCTTCAATCCCAGGAGAGAGAGAGAGAGAGAGAGAATGCTCAGTGGATGGATGGATGGGTGGACTGATAGAAGGGGGTGGAGGGAAAGGAGTTTGTAAGCAAGAGAGAATGGAGCGGGGGAGGGAGAAAGAAAGGGAAGGGGGAAGACAGAGAAAGTGAAGGAGGGAGGGAAAGACAGCAGGGGAACATGCAGAACTTTCATTCAGCCAACAGCATACCATGTAATTACGCTCATGCATCCTTTCAACGCCAAATAATGAGCTGCACACCTTTGACCTGACTCCAGATTGGCGTCCCTACAAACCAACAGACTGTCTTGACTGAGCAGGAAGAGATCTGTTTTTCACCTCCATTTGCCACATTTTCCAGCCTTCTTAAAGAAACCCCATGACAGGCTTTCCTCCTCCCCAGCATGGGCCAGGTGGTAATCTGTGGTTACTCCAGGCCAGCCACCTCTTCTGTTCCAGTGAGAGCTCAGAGCGTCAGGGAGTGGAAGGGAGGTGGGAAGGTTTGTTGACTCATCTGAGTCCCTCAGGGTCTATAAATTCACACAAGGAAACACAATCCTTATTCCAGAGTTCTGGTTTCACTGGAGCATGTCTCTCATCTGGTGAATTGGCCCCTACATGTTCTGTCTTCTCTGTTTGACAGGAATTCCAATGCTGAAGATTGTATTCGCAGGCCATGAGCATCTCTCCTTGATCTCTGTGCCTCTGCTAATCTACCATCCAGCCCAGATCCTCCTGGGAAGCGTGCTGGTGCCAACAATCAAGTCTTGGATGGTGTCACGGCAGAAGGTGAGACTAGAAAGGACTTAGATGGATGCAGATTGTTCATTCAATTCGGCTCTAGTTAGCTGACGGTTGCTCTCAAGTACCTATTTTCTTAACTAAATACAAAAATGAGGGTGTATTGTTCCATTCAATTAGAACAGAGAAACTGAGTACTAAATGTTTTAAATTCTTTTGAAAGACAAGTACACCTAAAATGGAGTGTTAAATGCTTTTAATGCACTCATATTGAAAGGTGTATTGCATGAGGTACTTAAATATGACCACGTTCTTGCATATTCAACTGTGTATTCAAGATGAAGCCAATCTTTCCTCTGTGTTCTGATTTCCTAGGCCCTTCTGAATATAGTAGAGCTTGGATATATCTAGAATTCTAACTTTATGTTCAGTTTCTCAGACACATAATACTTCTTTGTATGGCAAAACTATCAGGGAATTAAAAATTAAAAGATGTGGGCCAGGTGCTGGAGGCTCACACCTACAATCTTAGTTTTTCAGGAAGCTGAGATCTGAGAATGGAGGTTTGACACCAGCTTAGGCAGGAAAGTCCATGAGGCTCCGATCTCTAATAAACTACCAAAACAACCATAAGCGGAGCTTTGGCTCACATGGTAGAGTACTAGCCTTGAGAAAGAAAAAAAAGTACCCAGGCCCTCAGTTCAAACCCCAGGACTGGAACAAAAATAAAATAATAATAAAATAATAATTATTAAAATAATAATACAATTAAATAAATAAATAATTAAAGTAGCAAAGGTTCTACATGAGGTGCTGCTCCGGGCTCCTGCCCTCCCACCCAAAGCTAACACAGGAGAAGAGTTAGCTTAGTATCTTCTTCTGTCTTTTGCTATTCATCTTGTGTGTTTTTATATCCATGCTTATATTTATCCACATGCATTGCATGGCTGCTCAAAACTTATATACACAAATTTCAGCAAAGAATGAATAAAGTGGTTTGAAATCCTAACACTCTTATCGGTAACATGCAGCATAGGAAACAGAAAATTAGAGTAAGTTCTTCTACACATCTCAAAGCTCTGGGATTTATTCTACAGAGCAATAGGCATTTCTGAAAGGGGAGCCTAAGTTGGACATAAACATGTGGAGTCCATGCTGAGTGTATCCCGGAGTCTCTCTCCCTCTCTGCAGATACAAGTAATGAGACCCGGGGGCCACTGCCCCGTGCCAGGCAGAACTGTGCAAATGGCCAGGCCAGGCCATGGGGTGAGGGTGGGGAGGGGGGGTTGACACCTGGCCAGTGATTCTGGTTATATGGTGCATCTGAGTCAGCTTACTACAGCAGATGCCCAAGATAGCTTATAGAGAGGAGAGAGGTTTGCCTTGGCTCCTAGGTTTTGAAGTTTCAGTTCCTGATCAGTTGGCCCTGTTGCTTTTGGTCCTCTGTGGGCCTGGCACCTCATAGTGGAAGCAAAACCACTTATCTCCTGTCTGGGAGGCACAAAAAGAGAAAAAGGGGAACAGTCCTCTTCAAGGACACCAGCAAAGACCTAAAGGCCTCCCGCCCCTTAAAGGCCCCACCGCCTCCCAGTAGCTCCAAGCTGCAGCCGGGCCTTTAATGCGTGGAACTTTGGGGCTCTTTCCAGACTGAGACTATAGAAGTGGCTCGCCTCTTCCCTCTAGCAGTGTGAGTCATCTGGCGTTAACTGGTGCGTTTGCTTTGCTCCTGGGTGTTCTCCGAGTCTGAACGGCGTGTTTTCCTCTCTTGCAGGGAGTGAAGCTGACCAGGCCCACGGTGTAGGGCAGGACGCCCACTTTCTGTAGCAGTGTATATATGTACAGGATTGTACGTTGACACAATTCTGAAGACTCGTACTCGTGAATGTTGCTTTGATGCATATTTTATTTTTCTACAGACAAAAAAATTATATACCTGTTTTAGTGCCTTAAAAAAAAAATGAACTCCATGAGAACGTTACTTCCAAAACATACTCTGTTGTTTACTGCCAGTGGTGGTAGACTATTTTGGAGTTTTTTTTTTTTCCTAAATGCAGAAAACACTCATAGGAAAGAAGGAAAAGCTGCCGTGCATTCCCAGCCTTCCTCAGCGAGAGCTACTCTCATGTCTGAAATGAGGTCACGCCGTCAGGAAAATGCCCTTTTTGATGACAGTGAAAAATTCCAAAGTCTTAGTCACGCACACTTTGATTCACTGTGTGATTCTCTTCATTTTTTTTTTTTCCTACAACTATGACAAGCCTTCTCCCTGGCAACTCAGCGGGGGTCATAAACGGAAGAAGACGCCGACATGCGCGGGGCGTCTCTGCCTTCCTTCACTGAGTCATTTTTTTTTAGACATTCCTTCAAGTCGTTTTCACGCAGAAATTCTTCAGTCCCATCATGCAAGACTGTGGTGTGATGTCTTAAATTTATTATAAGCTGCTTCAAAGAAAAGGCCTGAGTGAAGTTGGTGAAATATTGAGGTGAACTACCAGATTTGGGGAGGGGGCGTTTATTAATCGCATCTCAATGCTTTTTGCGCTCTCTCCCATAACGTCTTTCCTCCCGTTCTGCAGCACACGCACGCACCTCCTAACGGCCAAATGTGAGCTCGAAAAATGTCCCAGTCAGTTTGCGGCGGCAACAAGGAAGGATAGATTCTTTTCACATTCCACAACTAAGCCAGAATTCCTCTCCCGCGTCACAGATGTGCGGAACCCCTGGCCACAGTGGGCGGGAAGCCACAGTGGGCCCCCCCCTGTGGGCGGGAAGCCACCTGTTACAGCCTTGACTCCCGCACACTTACGGCCTCTGGGACAGCGTGTCCGGAGAACATGACAAATGTTCGCAACCGCTTTTAAAACGTGAACTCACATTGCTCATGGAGCAGTGGAAAGATAAAGGTCACAGACACAACCAGATGTTACAGATGCGCACTCAGTCTAGCCAGGTAAATGGACACCGAAAATGCAAGACCATTCAGTAACCAAAATGTCAATTATGCTGCGTCCCCAGCAGGACATCGTCCGTCCAGGAAGCATTGCCTATGTGCTTTCTCTGCGGTTGGGAGAATTTTAACTAGACCCAGGTTGAGAATGGGTAATCAGTTGAGTTAGAAAAGCAGGTTTTTTCTGTTCACACACTATCCTGTCACTCTGTGTCTCTACATCCTCTGGTGATTTGACAGACAGTCTTAACCTCCTGGGTCTCACTGAGGCATGCTCAGCATAGATCTGTTGCTTTGCCCACAAATAGCAACAACAACAGTCATTCCTGCTAGGCACTGGTGGCTCACACCTGTAATCCTAGCTACTCAGACGGCTGTTTTAAAGCCAGCTTAGGCAGGAGAGTCCATGAGACTCTGATCTCCAGTGAACCACCAAAAAGCCAGAAGTGGAGCTGTGGCTCAAGTGGGAGAGCACTAACCTTGACCATAACATCTCAGGGACAGCACCCAGGCCCTGAGTTCAAGCCCCAGAATTGGCACCTATATAAATATATACATTATTCCACAGCTTAACAAGCTTATCAGTAGTGTAAATTTATATCACTGTTACTTCCAGCTTTCGTCTTTTGTTACTTATAACTCATTTCCGTCTTGTGAACTTCAGAAGTTCCACAAGCATTCTAAGTAAGGCTAGTTCCCCGCCATGCAAAAATGTACAAAACAGGCTGTGGTGGACACTGTTAACAAGAAGTATTGTGTCTGCAATGACAGTCCTTTTGCCTGGTATTTCTGATGATTACCTCTGAGCACAGAAAGACTTTTATCTATTGTTCTTTTAAGCTTCTTGATGTTTTGAGGTAAACATGTCTGTTTGTCTGAGCTGTCATAAACAATCTTCCTCCTTTTCTATTTGAATGCTCATTTCCCCTTCAACTTATCTACCTCTATTGCCTAACACCTATAGTAGGTGTAACTATGGGATAAGATTCAACGGAAAACAATGATACAATAACATTTTATCTTTTGCTTTAAAAAAGTGTGTTGTGTTTGCCAATAATCTTCTTTCCATAGTGAGTTTTGACGGCTTTAGTGGTATGTTTATGGCTATTTCTTTTTTTACACAAATAATGTAGCCTATTTTTTCATAAAGAACAAAGAAATACAATAAAATGGGGATTTAGTTCATGCTTTTGGGGATTTAATCATGCAGAGTTTAAAATACTATGCTTATATACTATCAAGCTATCTGTGTTATGTATTTGTGTTCTCAAATGTATTTATCAAAAAATACATCAGATATTTATGTTTACTCATTTTTCCACCTGTTTTTTTTACAATTATAAAATTTGATTTTTTAAGGGATGATAATGTTGGTCTTTATGACATGTTCTTTAAGTCTTAAATTTTTCTGGATTTTTATGAACATTCTTCCCTATACTGTTTTAAACTAACACACCTCTGGTTCATGTTCAGTGTTTATGCTAAATACCAAATGTTTGCAGAAGGATGGCTAAGTCATGAAGTGGATTCTTGATGATGGATGGAAGATGAAAATAATTCTATGATTAAACAAAGAGCTGGTTGAGAGATTGCAAGCAAGTCTGTGGCTTATTTCCACCCCATTGCCAATGAATTCCCAGCACTTGCTACTTTCTTCTCTGTGGACCAAACAGGTATAAAGTCTATACCCTTCCCCAGTGAGCTTGCCGTACCCCATCACACCTCCATACTCAACGCAGAAATAACCCTTCTTCATTAGAGACAGAGGGCTTACCCCTGCGTCAGGGTGAGGAACCAATGGGGGAACAGTCATAAGAGGGACAAAAATGGAGGTGCTTGGGATTTTGCAAGTGAGCAGTTCAAAAGATGAGCCTTGTTCATGCTTTTTCCAAACCCAGTGTTTCTTGGCTGAATGCGCTGCCTTGTGCAGAATGCCCCATTGCGTGTTCTTGTCTTTTCCATCTTTATGACTTAGGAATGTTCTTTCATCTGGAAGTCTGGCGGAAACCAGGAAGCTTTCCTGGATCCCCAACCCCTCACCTGTTCTGTTCATCCTGTTTCTTGCCGTACCCACGTTTTTATTATGGAGCGTGTTTGTAACATGAACTAGGACCCTACACACAGGAGCAAGTTGGGAAAGGCTCTTGCTGCCTGGCGCTCTGCCTGGCGCTGTCCACAGCCTCACTGAAAGGTCACTGAAAAGGTGTATCACACCCACGGGACAGATGAGAAAACAGCCGCCGTCTAAGTGGCTGATTCGAAGGACAAAATTAAGAAGAGGAAACACGTAGCCACGAGTAGAGCAAATTTAATGACAGGTGCTCTGAGGAGGACTGCAAAGGAGATGCTTAATTTCACATTTTACTAGAATCCTATGTCAGGAGGCCTTAAGGAAGAAAAGACAACGTTCAGAAAGAACTAATGGCAGAACGGCTAAGAGACTTCCGAAGGAAAGGCGCTGCAGGAAAACGCCTGGCAAGAACTCAGAACCTGCGATGTGACTGTTGAGTTGTAGCCACCATCATCATCACCATCATTATCATCATCATCACTATCAGTATCGTCACCATCAGCACCACCAGCACTAGCAGCAGCAGCAGCAGCATTTTTAAGTTATTGGCAGCTTTTGCAATCCTAAAAACCCCATCCCACTCCACAAGCCACCCCACACCCTTCCGAAAGGAACGCTAAATAAGAATCTGCTTCATAGTAGAGCTGTTGGTCTACAAGACCATGTAGTAAAGGGTTCAACGTACACCGAGAGATAAGACAGAAGTTCCGGCGGTGGTGGCTGTGCAGTAGTGGGAGGAATTCTGTGCACAGGGGCTGAAAGGAGGCTTGTAGACACCCCAAGGAGAGGTGCTTCCCAGCAGACAGATGTGATTTGCAGCGCCGGCCCACTGCTGGATGGAAACACCTCCCCCCGGCCGGTGCCTAGCACCAGCACACTGGCTCCAAAGATGAGTGAGGGAGCGCTGTGTTCGGGGGCGCGTGCTTGCTCCCACACTGTGCTACAGACCCGCGCTGCTGCTTATCCGCTTAGTCCCTCCAGCCTCTCAGGAAGCATGCTCAAGATGTGCAGTCTGCACTGTCCAAGGGAGGGCAGAGGCGTGTGCAGGGCCCCAGGCCCGCCGCTCTCCACGGGGTAGGCCTGGCATCCAAGCCCAGGCTCTCCGGACCGGAGGAGCCCTCAGATCTAATAACTACATGACTTCCTTACAGCCCAGACCTCACCGTCCTTGAAAGTCCTCAGTCTCTCAGAGCTGGAACGTCTGGCGCGTCGCACGGTTCTGAGCTCTGTCAGTGCTGCGCTGCGACTTGCGGCTTCCCTGCAGAGCACTGTCAGCCGAGCTGCTGGCGCTCTGCCACTCGCGCCAGGACCCTGTGAACCCCAGCTGCGTCCAGGCCGGGCTGCCCCCCTTCCAGCTCCACCAGGCACAGCTGTAATTTGAGAAACCCCGTCTCTCCCCTTCAGAAGCCCCTGGTGGCAGCACTTCCAGGAATTCCGGGCTCAGATCTTCCTTCCCTGCCCACCAGTGGGAATTTCGGGGCCATTTGCCTATTGCCAGCCTCCTGTGGTAAACCAGCCAGAAGGAGCCCACACTTGGCTGTCCTGGAGCGCTCACTTGCGGTTCCATTGCGGTCCTCCCCGTCCAAGTGGCCTCAGGTGCCTCCGACCTGGAGTAAACGCTCAGCGGCCTCCTTCCCCCCCAGGCCCCGGCCCTCTCCAAGCCATGCAACCACCGCTCTCCCCGCAACCCCCACGTCCACGTCCTGCCGGATCGTCACCAGATTCTATTGCGCAAAACCTTACCTCCCCCCTGCAGCCAGTGCCATGTTCTTAACACACCCTGTGTGCCTCCTGCCACGACGTCCCCTCGCCAGCCACCCAGCTCTGTCGCCTGCAGGATCTAGCCCTGTCTTCCTCAGACCAATCCTGGACATGGCTGTCATGGTTTCTGTCTTACAAAGCACACGCCCCATGAGACTGAGTGCCCATGCTCTCCCGAAGCCTACACTCCACCTGCTCCCCCCGGCCACGCCCCCTCCCTCCATACCCACCACCATGAGACGGTCCTCGGTTTCCAAGTGTCTACTGCGTTTATTCTCTTCTATGTCCCTCATC